AGAAGGGAGCGAGGCCGGAACGCGCCGGGTCGGGTCGCGGCCGCGCTCAGTCTCGCGCCCGCTCGCGCTCTTCCTGGTCCCTCTGAGTGAGGCCAAAACGCCCATTTTCAGCCCCGAGAATGGCAGTTACCCCTCAGGAGGGCGGTGAACTCGCTAATGCTCCCTGGGACCTTTGATGTCTCGATCCCATCGAGTACCCAGGGACCATCACGATGATCACAGTTCTTCCGTAGAAGCCAAAATACCCCAATGTTTTGATCCACAGTCTTTGTATGTTAGTGCTGAGACCTCTAATACTCTGTGACATTTGATATCTCTATATGGCCAAGGGACAATAGCGGGCCTTTTGGAGTGCGGTCATAATACCCCCAAATTGTGCCTCGGGATCTTCCTATATCACAGTGGTGACAGAGAGCCCAATTACTAAATCCTAAATTACCCTCAATGCTTGAGGCCTTGGAAATACCGGGAGAGTGGCAGTTTCTTCCCAGCAAGACTATCACACCCCAATATTGTGTCACAGTTTTCTGTATCAAAATGATGACAGATACCCCACGTGGGCCTTATGTGACACCAACGTACCCTCAATTAAGGATAAGATCACCCTATATCCCTCCCTGAAACCTTTGCTCAATAGTCTCTGATAAAACTGCAACATCCCATGCTCCCTGGGACCTCTATATGGACACAGTGTTTTGTGTACAGGAACCAAAAGTAATGTACACTCAGTTCTCAAAATCAGATGGTGACAGAGCAAGACTGTCACTGTGAGATGCTCGATCCTGCTCTGGTGGCTTCAATTCCAAGACAGTAAGTACTTTCTCTGCTTTACCTGGTATTGAGTCCACAGACCCCTACATCCAGTACCAGGACATTTCTGTATCGACATGCCAAGAGTCCTGAAGCTGTCAGTACCCAGCAGCACCCTCTAGGAACTGTGACGGCATCATGGGTCCAGCAACCCTGTGAACGCCCCACCCTACAGACAGCCCATGGCACTCTCCTGGGCCTCATGTTGGGCCCCAACTCCCACAGTCTACACAGCAGTCCCAAGACTGAAGACACTCACCTCCAATCTGCTCTCCTAATTCCTCTCTCCAGGTTTCAATGATGAGAGAGAAGGTGCCCTGGAAGGGCGAGGGGAAGGAATGAAAAACAGTGGTCAGGGCGAGTACTCGATGAAGGCCAGGGTTTAGGAGTGATGACCATTCCAGGCACCAGGCAGGCAAGGGACAGTTTCCAGAGGGGAAGGAATGACAGTTTTGGCTTTCTTTATTGAGCGTTTGCAGTTTTATCAGAGACTATTGAGCAAAGGTTTCAGGGAGGGATATAGGGTTTGATAAGTGATAAGGACTATACTCAAGATGACCTGGTTGAATCCCTCAAAAGGGACCCTTGTGAGGTACACTGATGAGCTAGAAAAGGAAAAGTCACTTGCCCAAAAGGACAAGGGTCTAGAATTCAAATACAGGTTTGTTCTCCTCTGTGCTTTTGGGGCTGTGGGATGGGAGGGAGGATTTTCGAGGTGAAAGAGTCATGAATACAGGCCCCAATTGGAGGATCTGAGAAGGGATAAGTTGAGAGGAGATTGGGGGTTTCCAAGACAGGCTGTGAGAGGTTCCTTAGGTGCAAGGAGACTTGGAGATAAAGACAGGAATCCCAGTATTTAGGGATGCCCAAGGGACAGAGGCAGGGCTCTATGAATTTATGATTTCCAGAGGGTGAGTTGGGGGGCTCCAGGTATTTGGGGTCCCAAGCATACAGGGCTGGGATCATAATATTTTGGATACCTAGAGGGCAAATTGGAGTCAGGAAAGCTGGGGTCTCCAGTGAGTAGGGTTTATGGGTCTGAGAAAGGGAATGTCCAGGTGGTAGAGTTACTGGGAATTTGGAATGGGAGGGAGACAGGGTTGGGGCCTTGGAAGATGCAGGACAGAAAGGGGTCAAGGTTTGCGTAAGGACCCCGGCACGGGGGTTCCCCGGGGCGTGTCTCACCGGCCAGGCGTCCCGGAAGGGCACGCGCATGAGGCCACCGGGCAGCGGCAGGTCAGGCGCGGGAGCCCGGGACTGCTCAGTGTAGACAGGCCCACGAGCGCTCAGCGCCGCGCCCAGGGCGCACGGGGACTCCACGGCCTCCTCGGAGACCCCTGGCTTCAGGCAGACTCTGAAGAAGAGGCGGCAGCGGCCCCGGGGGCTGCAGGGGGACCTGGAGGCCCCCGGGCCTGGTTCTGGCCGGAAAGACTGGATCTGAAGCTCGAAGACGCCGGCCGGCCGTGCCTGGAGCGCAAGGGGCACAGGGTGACCGCCTAGGGTACCCAGGCGTCCGGTCCGCCCGCGCCCCCTTCCCAGGACCTCCGGCTCTCACCCCCTCCCATCCTCCCCTTTCCAGTCCGCTCTGACCTGAGGAAGGAAAAAGAGCGCCAGGATCACCGTCCAGGACAGGAGTTGGGGCATCCACGGGCCGACCATGGCCTTTCGGAGGTCTGAGGAGCCGCAGCGGCTGGCTCCGAGACTTATATCTGAGGGGACGGCTCCGCCCCTTCAAGCAGCCCTGGGACTCCAGGGGACCCTAGGGGAGGAGGTCGCGGGGAAGGGGAGCATGCTGGAGCAGCTGTAAGTTTGTGTCTTGGGCACAGGCAATGCAGTGAGTGTGTACAATCTTGTGTGTGGTTGTGGGCACGACTGTGTGTGGCTAAGGATGGGGTAGGGTTAGGGGGCTGTATATGATGATTATATGAGCGTTTGGTGTGAGCAAGAGCTACTGGAGGGTGTTCGTGCCTTTGTGATAGTGTAGCTAGGTGAGATTATGTGGCTGCATGTGTGTCTCAAATTGTATGTGGCTAAGCCTGTTTGTGAGGCTGTAAATAATTCTGAGATTCAGTGTGTGTGTGTGTGTGTGTACACACGCACGCCAGCACGTGCTGTACCTAAGAAGAGAATGGAGGTGTATGTGACTTCATGATTGTGTGACTTGCATGTGTAAAAGCATATGTGAGATCCCGGACCACTGGGTGTAGTCCACGTGAACCTGTGGTCTGTGCAGGTGCCTCTAGGTGGCCGTGGGGAAGGGGTGGGGGAAGGTCTGTGCAAGGCTGTGAATGAGGGTGTGTGTGTGAAGACCGAGTGTGGGAGGTCCATGGGTATAGCCGCACGTGGATTTGATGAAGATTCGGAGTTCTTTGTGGACGTGGACGTGTTTTCCCCTCCCCAAGACAAAGCCGCCCTCCCAACCCGCGTCATGGGTGCAGCAGACGCCCGGGCGCGGAGCCCCGCCGCGGAGGGGACTCCCAGCTGTATGCAAATGCCGCCATCTGCCGGGCGGCCGGCCCCGCCCCCTGCGGGCTGCAGCTGGGCCTCCCGTTTGGCCTCCGGAAGGTGTGAGGAGCAAATGGGCAGGAAATTCCATCTTCACATATCAAGGGCCCGCTCCCTCACTCCAAGATGAATGGGGTAGGGTCGGTGGGGCGGGGGAGACCCCCCAGAGCCCTCCAGAAATCCCTTAATAGTCCAGGACCACGGCAGGGAAAGCCAGTTAGGAGCAGATGTTCCAGCCCAGTCGCTCTGTGCCAGGTGCTAAGCAAAGCTCTCCCCCTGGATTAAGGATTTTCATACTTAGCGGCTAATTATAGGGAAAACACAGGTCCGATTTATGTTTTCTTCTTCAAGACTGAATAAAGCATAGCCCAGCAGTCAGGCATACAGCAAGTGCTTAGTGACTTTATGAAGAATTCAACCGAGGGCCATGGTCAAATTGTGCAGGGCATCCCAGGTTCCATTGCACAGCTTTGCCCTCTACTGGTTATATTCTCACCATTCAGACTTCACCTCCTGCGGGAGGCCTTCCCCAACACGCCACCGTCAGGCACCTCCTCTGAGTTCCCAGTCCCCTGGGATTCCTCTATCCCAACCCTGACCTCTGGGGTCTTTCTAAGCACACATCTGACCGTGTCACTCTCCTGCATAGAATCTTCCATGGCCTTTAAAATACTTCAAGATTCTAAGGTTATTTGAGGCCCCCCTTCCACATCCCCCCTACTCAAACAGGTCCTGTGGCCCCAAAGTAGTGCCACACCTTGTGGACCAATTACTGGGGGGCAAATTGGGCCCTGTAATGGGGTAGGTGGAGGTTGCTTCCTATGCAACATTCACATGGAATTTGGAGTCAATAGAACCAGCTGTGAGAGAAGGAAAATTCGTCTTAGATAATAACTTGGGAAGGTAACAGATTCCAGACCTGATACCTCAAAATTTTTAAATATTGTAAAAAGAGCCAGCCTTTATTGAAGGCCTGTGCTAGCTATAAGTGTTTCACGTGAATCCTCTCATGTCTCTGTGTGAAGTACTTTAAGGGATTTCTAAGCGTCTTTTTAGCTATTCAGGACTTTTCCTTATGCGCCCACAGAATGCCATGCTGAGGCGACATGTGAGCAAAGACCTAAAGGAGGGGAGTAAGCCATAGGGTCTGGGGGGCGGGGGTAACATCCATGGCAGAGACTATCAAGTGCTCCAAGATGGCCACCATACCCGGCACACTCAGATATCCCCACGGCTTTCCTCATTTCATTTTGGTCTCAGCTCAAATACATCATCCCAAGTCCTTTCCTGACTGTTCCATCCCATCTAAAACAGCACCCCAAGTCCCCAACCCACTCCATCTCCTTACCATACCATACTTTTTTCTTCTTTTTTAAGAATAATTTTTAATTACTTTTTAGAGAAGGGAGAAACATTGATGAGAGAAACATCAGTTGGCTGCCTCCTGCATGCCCCCTACCAGGGATTAAGCCTGAAACTTGGGCATGTGCCCTGATGGGGAATTGAACCAGTAACCCTTCGGTGCACAAGATGACACTGAACCATACCAGCCAGGGCTATTTTTCTTTATGCATTTATTACCCCAATAGCTAACCATTGTCTGTCTTCTCCATGAGATTATCAGCTCCACCAGGTCAGTTTTTCTAATTTGTTCATCAATGCACTCTAGCCCCTAGAACAGGGCCTGGCAGTGGGTGCTTAGGAAACAGTGAATGAATAAGGGAGGCATTATTAATCTCTTATGAGAAAAAACTGAGAAGCCTGAGACCTTGTCCAGGATCACAGGGCTTGTGAATGATGTGTGACATGGGGATTCAGACCCTGTTGGGGTATGTCTTCACACTGGCCCAATCCTGCCCTTTGGATGATGCCATGATGCAGCCCTAGAGCGTTTCAGGAAAACATTCTAGGCCATGTACCATAAGCAGGGTCTCAGAGGCCACCTGTGCACAAGTCCAACTTTATCCTCCTCTCTTGCCCTCCAGCCTCGAGCAGGTGTGGCCTGAAAGCACCATCCCTGAGCCAGCACCAAGGTTGGGGGAGAGGCCTGGGGGCACCCACTGGGCACTGAAACATGCGCCACCCTGAGTGCCAGAGCCTTAATCTCCAGGGGCCACTTTTGACCACTGGGGGACAGAGGCCAATGGGCAAACACACTTCTTTCTTTCATGCCCTGTGAGCAGACAGATCCCAGTTACATTTCAAAAGGCTCCTCAGGTTCCTGGGACTGTGTCAACCATGTGGTAGGCAAGCACACACTTGTGGTGGCTCTCCTTCCGTCTACGACTCACTCTTCCCAGGATCACCTTGCACAAACACATAAGCTTCAGTCTCCATCTTTTGGTTAAAAGTCTCCAATTCTCAAAGATATGGGGGGGAGGGGAACAACTGCAGGCCACTTCCTCAATCCTGTGGAGGTCCTCAAGCTAGGGAGTCCTAGGGACATCAAGAAATCATTCCCTACATTATAGACAGTACACCCTGGAGTTGGAGGGTGCATATCTTCTTTCTTTATGGACATCTGTGCGCCTTTTAAAAAACCTAGAGTTCAGAAGTTCAACCTGGTCTACACAGTTTCAAATACAATTATTATAACCACCACCAGAGAAGGTCTCTCTAAAATATTTAACTGGTACTAGCACTAAATGCTGTCTGGAGGAGAGGGTGGGACAGCAGCAGGAGGGGCCAACAAAATGTACAGGTTATTTCAATCTGTGAATAACCAGTATGGCCTGATAACAAGCCCATGTGAGTATACATATAGCTTGAATAGGAACTGTCCCATTTAACCCACCTACCCACTCTACTAAGATAGGTACTGTCGTCACCTCCATTTTACAGCTGAGGAAACTGAGGCAGAAAGGTGCCTTGCCCAAAGTTCACACAGCTACCATCTGAGAGCCTACAGAGTGTCTCCCTCAGCCCTCAAGCCTAGTGGGGGGTAGGTGCTATTATTATTCTTTTATAAATGTGGAAACTGAGGCAATGAGAGGTGAAGTAACTTGCCCAACATCAGTCAGATAGCGGGAGAGCCTGGATTTGAACTTAAGACAGTCTGGAATTCATACTCTTAAATAGTAAGTGCTGTCCAATGCAGGACCCAGGAGCCACATGTAGCTTTTAAAATTTAAATTAAAATAAAACAAAATTTAAAATTCCACTCCTCAGTTACCCTGGCTACATTTCAAGTACTCAATAGCTCCCTCCCCTCGTGGCCACTGGACAGTGCAAACACAGAACAGTATAAACATGCATAAAGTTCCACTGAGAGTGCTGCTATAGTCTGCCTCTTTTAATTAGAAGCCAAACATTTAAGTGCTGGAGATTTAATATAAAAATCCCAATTTTTGGCTTCCACCGAAAATCAGAAGATCAATCAACTCTATACCCACCTTTCCATGGGGCTACAGCCAGCAGAGCTGAGCAGCAGCTGCTCTCTTGAGATGGGGCCATCTTTGCCCACCAGAGTCCACTGAGCCCATGCTTCACACATTTACACAGCAGCCTAGCAGCTACCTGTCTTTAACCCCCCAGGGCAGCCCTCGCTTCTTTTTTCCAAAGATGGGGAATTTGTGGCCAGAAAGGGAGATACACTTTTTGCAGATCACACAGTACATGGGAAGACAGCCAGAGCAGGGGCCCAGGTTTTCAGATTCCCAGGCCTGGGTTAGAAACCAGCCCTGATCTACCAAAGCACCCACTTTGTGCTTGGCAGCTGATCAGCCACTCAGACCTCACCCCGATGGCCCCATCTGGAGACTCTCCGGACACAGGAGTATGGCATCTGGGATGGACTTTATTGGACATATGGCTGTCCAAGCCGTGGTCTGGGAGCACTGCAGCCTGAGATCCAGGACCCAAGCACTGAGTTTGAGGAGGGCCCAGAAGTCAGGGCTGTTTGGAGCGAGGCCACAAGCGGCTGGTGAGAGAGCTGAAGAAGAGGTTCTGCTTGCTGGACTTGGAGAGCTCGGCCAGGCGCTGCTGCTCCTCCTGGGGTCAGGGCACAGATGGGGGAGGGGGAAAGTCAGCCAGGGTGAGCAGAGCCTTCTCCCAGACTCCCTGGTCCCCAGCCCTCAGCCCAGGAGCAACCTTCCTTAAACCTCTGCCCAGCCCAGATCCCTTTCCCCAAACCCCTAACCCACCAGCCCAGACCCCAAGAACCCAGC